CAAAGCCTCCCCTCAAGCTGACAGGCTCATTCACAGAAACCTGGGGGTGTGTTTCAGTCTGCTGTCTCTGCAGTACCCTTGGAGTGGTAGCCTGCTGATAACCATCAGATTGTTACAATCCCATGGGACTGAGGATTACAAGTCCCCAGCTACTATAGCCAGGTGATGAAACAGTATCTTGGGTGGTAGGCACAAAAACTGAGACAACAAATTTACATACCAGGGTACCAGACATGTTAGAGCTCTGTTCCAGAAGATACTGGCACTCTGGAGTTCAGCAGTGAGTACATGCAAAGATAGTGCCTGCACTCTGAGGTCTCTGGAAAGGATCAGCCAGCTCTTTGATATGTGTTGAATTAAAGTCTACCCCTCAAGCTGCAGCTATGATGAGCTAATAGGCCTCACAGAAAACTGAACTCCTAAGTGTGTTCTCTCTTGCTGTGTCCTGGGGCTGGTAACTGTTTCAGAACTCTTTCTCTGTTGGTTACAACCCTGTGAGACCTACAAGTGTAAGTACCACTGGCCACCAGAGAGGCCATTAGAGATGTCTCATAGCAGCTGCAAAAATTGGGGCACCAGACAAGGGTATTAGCTCCTTTCTGGTGGACAGCAGTGAGCTGGAGCAATGCAGAAGGGGAGCACAAAGATTGTGTCCACTGGTCTCTGTTTCCTGAGAGCAGTTCCAAGGCCACACTAGATGTGTATCAAACCAGAAGTCTGACTCTCAGGCCAAAACTCTGAAAGCCTGGGTGGGGAGGGGTTTCAATCTGCTGTCTGTGCAATGCCCTAGTGGTGGTTATCTGCCAGGTACTGTCTCCACTTGTTACAGTCCCATGGGACCCTGAAACACAAGGTCCCCTGGCCTCTAGACCAAGCAATCAAGGGGTGTTCCCTGGGAAGCAGCCACAAAAATCAGGGCATCAGATGCATACAAAAGCTGCCTTCCAGGAGATACTGGTGCTCTGGAGTGTAGCAGTGTGTGTGAAGATGGTGCCTGCTGGCTATACCAAAGCAAAAGGGGAGTATAAAGATGGTGAAAAAAGAGAGATGGTGCCCACCAGTCTCCATCTCCCAAGTGTTTCTCCAGAGTGTTCCAACAGGCTCTGAGATGTGTGCCTGTTAAATGAGATGCCTACTTTTCAGGCTGATGCTTTAATATAGCCAGGTGAGCCTCCCCTCTTTCACCTGGCACAATCGGCTGCATCAGAGCTGGGCCCTGGAGTAGGTTAGTCCAAGAGCACAAGCCCTTTAGGAGCCAGATCACCACAGCCATGCTGCTTTTCAAAGCTAGATGTTCTGGGGGGCTCATCTCTCTGGTCCAAGTCATTAATGATACTGGAGTTCTTCTATGCCATTTCCATTACCCACTTACACATTATAGGTTTTATACACTACAGGGTAGGCCTCAGCAAAAGCACATGTCTATCTAAGGCTTTATAATAGTTGCCTTAGTACTCATTTTCTTCCTGATTAAACAGAAAACATTGAAGTACAATTAAAAACAAAATCCCAAAAATGGCAATACCTTCCTTTTCCTAAGTGTAGTTAAACTAATATTAGCTCCTTCAGAGTTAATGGGTATCCTCTAGTTCTAGTATTTCAGAGAAATACTACAGCAAGGAAAAAGTGGGGTTCTGGTTCAAGATGGCAAAGTCAGAAGATCCTGAACATTCTAATATTTCTTTAAAAACCAAAGTTTACCAAACTCATAGCCATGATCATTACTCTGTTGTCACAGAACTACCAACTAACTCTTTCACCTGCTCCTATACAGCATAATGGCCACTCCTTCAACATGTGCCTGAGAATTTATAGAACATTTATGAATCGCAGTGGCACTGTGCTGGAAGATACTCATTCTTCCAAAAGAACTCTCATCCTCAAGGAGTTAGCCTAGAAGAGTATTCCAGAAGAACTCTACATGTGCAAAAATATATATAAGGATGTTCCAAATGCATCAACAGGAAAGGGTTTAACATATTATGGCCAAATCATAGCTCAATAGTATGCAGTTGTTTAAAGGTAACTCTAGATGTGGAAATGTAATATAGCTGCACATACATAAAACATTCTCCAAACTGTGCATATGTGAGCACAGGCGTATTTTGGAGATACTGTGAATTTGATTCCAGACCACTGCCATAATCAAAGTTTTTTGGTTTCCCAGTGCATATACAAGTTATTTTATACTATGCCATAGTCAAGGAAGTGTACAACAGCATTTTGTCTAAAAAAAGTGAGTATCTTAATTAAAACGTACTTTACTGCTAAAAGATGCTAGCTATCACCTGAGTTTTCAGTGAGTTGTAATCTTTTTGATAGTGGGGGAGTCTTGCATCATTGTTGATGGTTGCTGCTGATTGAGTGGTTGTAGCAGTTTCTTAAAAGAAGACAACAATGACACTTGCTGCAACAATTGACTCTTCCTTTCATGAATGATTTCTCTGCAGCATCTGATGCTGTCTGACAGTATTTTACTCACAGAACTTCTTTCGAAATCAGAGTCAGTTCTCTCAAACCCTGCCACTGTTTTATCAACTAAGCTTACATAATATTCTAAATCCTTTGTTGTCATTTCAACCATCTTCACAAGTAGATTCCATGTAAGAAGCAATTCCTCATTCTTTTAAGTTTTATCATGATGTTGCAGCATTTCAGTCACATCTTCAGACTCTGCTTCTAATTCTCTTGCTTATTCCACCGTATCTGCAATGGTTCTTGAACCCCTCAAGGTCATCTATGAGGGAATAGAATCAACTTCTTCCAAACTTTCTAATGTTGCTATTTTGACCTCTTCCCATGAATCACTCATGATGTTCTTAATGGCATCTAGAATGGTGAATCTTTTTCCAGAAAGTTGTCAATTTACTTTGACCAGCTCCACCAGAGGAATCACTATATGGCAGGTATAACCGTATGAAATGTATTTCTTAAATAATAAGACATGAAAGTCAAAATGGGCCACAAAATGGATGTTGTGTTAGCACACATGAAAACAATAATCTCACTGAATATCTCCAACAGAGCTCTTGGGTGACCAAGGGCATTGTCAATGAGCAGTCATATTTTGAAAACAATCTTTTTTTCTGCAATCTCAACAACGGCCTTAAAATATTTAGTAAACCTTATTGTAAACAGATGTGCTGTCATCCATGCCTTGTTATTCCACTGACAGCACAGAGTAAATTGAGCATAATTCATAAGGGACCGAGGATTTTCAGAATGGTCATGAGCATTCAACTTCAGTCACCAGCTGCATGAGAGTCAGCCTTTCCTCTGAAGCCATGCCTTGACTTCTCTCCAGCTATGAAAGTCCTAGATGACATCCTTTTCTATTGTTTCATCTGCTAGCTAACTTCATTAATTACCTAGGCCAAATTTCTGGATAATTTGCCCTTAACACTTTTGTTATGGAGACACCTTCTTTCCTTGAACCTCATGAAACCAACCTCTGCATCTTCCAGCTTTTCTTCTGCAGCCTCCACACCTTGCTCACCCCTCACAGAACTGAAGAGAGTTAGGGCCTTGCTCTGGGTTAGGCTTTGGCTTGAGGGAATGCTCTGGCTGGTTTGATCTATCCAGACCACTAACAGTTTCTCCATATCAGCAATAAGGCCGTTTCACTTACCATTCCTGTGTTCACTGGAGCATTATTAATTTCCGTAAAGAACTTGTCCTTTGCATTCACAATTTGGCTAACTGACAAAGAGGTATAGTTTTCAGCCTCTCTTGACATACCTTCCTCACTAAGCTTAATCATTCTTAGCTTTTGATTTAAAATCAAAATCAAATGTGATTTTGAGAGAGATATGAGAGATATATGTAAGATATGTGACTTCTCCTTTCACTTGAACACTCAGGAAACCACTGCAGGGTTATGTACTGGCCTAATTTCAATATTGTTATATTTCGGGGAATAGGGAGACTCAAGGACAGGGACAGAGGCAGGGAACAAATGGTCAGAGGAGTGGTCAGGACACACACAGCATTTATCAATTAAGTTCACCATCTTATAAGGGTGACCCAACAATTAAAATAAGTAATATCAAAGATCACCATTAAGTACAGTAATGAAAAAATTTGAACTATGTGACACACAGACATAAAGTGAGAATTGTTGGAAAAATAGATCCTATAGACTTGCTCAATGCAGGGTTGCCCCACTTGAATTTGTAAAAACAACAGTATCTATGAAGCACAATAAAATAAAGGGCATTAAAACAAGGTATTCCTGTACATGTAAAACCAAGGGCCAGAAGGATACATAACACACCACTTACGTCACTCTGACATAATGAGAGGGAAGAGGGAGAAGGAAGCCAGACTGGGGAAAGAATGGTGTGAAGGAGAGATGTGCATGAGTTATACAAGAATGACTAGCATATACTTTCAATATTTTTAAAGTATCTTTTGACTTGTCAATGTAAAAACAAAATCAGAGCTATCAACCTCCCAAATTCTGCTGAGGAGTGATAAGCATAGTTGTTTTCAATGTAAACAGTTTTGCTGAGTGAGAACCCTACTGGTCATAGTTCTGATCTCCAACTTCTTAAGCCTAACCCCAAAAGGAGGAAAGACGGAAAATGGAATAGAATACTCTCCCACACCTGTGATGAGCAACCTTTCATGCACAATAACCAATGCAGGAACAATGTTCCTAGGTCATCATTTCCTCCCCATTCAAAACTGAAGCATCTTTACTGAGTCCCATAGGATATTTAAATATGTGTTTTTCTATAATCTAGATTACTCCTTTATGGACTGAAGACTATCCAGGAGAAAATGCACCATTTTATAGCCACTACAACTGCATTTCACAGACTGCTGAAAAAGCTTGACACAAGGGAACCACATATCTCCATGCTGGAAAGTCACAGCAAACATTACTACATCAAAGGCTCTGCAAAGTCCCAAGAAAGAACCAAACGTTGGGGTTTGTTTAGCCTACAGCATTTGTCCTTAAGCATTCTGGAAAACGCATGATCAATGAATAGACTTACCTCCTGCTTCTAACTGAACTCCTGGAGTCAAGTGAAGAAATTCTGGTTTCATGCTTACTCGGGAGCCAGAAATAAAACCGACCACAAAATCAGAATGTTCCTCAGCCATTCTAACCTAATGGAATGTAACAGGACAGATTATAAGAAAGCAGTAATCACACAGAATGATAGTTCTACAACTAAAGTAAAAAATCAACTCTGTTAACTAGTAGTAAACTTTGCTATTTTATACATATCTTTTCTCACTTCATACCAAATTCACTGTATCTAAAACAGGTACTTAGATATGAATCTACATACTTATTCCATTAAGACCTTAAGATTTAACAATACCCTAAAAACAGTAAAAATTCTATGTTATATGCATTTATAGTCCAGATACTGCATAAATACCTGTAATAACACTTGGAAACCAATCTACTTCCAAAAAAGGATATGAGGAGGGTACAGTTTAATGGTATGAAGCCACATTGAAGACTTATTGCCTATTTCCACAGGGGACTCCATATCCAAGGCCAGCCAATATATAAAATACAGCCACATAGGAGCCTCAAGAAATCTCATCTTTATTGTTTTCCTCGTCCTCTAACATTTGCCAGTAACTGGTCTCCACAACATCTATGCCATTAGTTCGCATTCACAGAAGTTTCTCTAGAAGGCATGTCTTTCTAATTTGGCTCTTCCCTGAGGCTCATACCATTCCATTCTTGCCACCAAGAACTACCACCTACCACAAGTCCATGAGCCAGCCCCAGACTCCCAGAATGCCAATCATAGTACTGACTCGTGAATACCCTGCTGTGAGAGATGGGAATCAGACATTTATGGGCAACCCAAGGGTGGGGTTAAACTCTGGCCCCAGGGCCCTGTGACCTTTTCATTGTTCCACAGACACTTTGAAATATGAAAAAATTCCCATAAAAAGACTACAGTTTTGTTAAAAATATCAAGAGGAACTTTTTAAATAGGTAATTATCCATCTCTTATTTTATTCTTGGGGGTGGGGATGGATATTAACATGTTTGGAGTTATGAAAACTTTAATAATGGGGAAGGTACTGAACAAAACAATGTATGTAGACTCTAGTTAATAGCTTGTCCTTACAACACCAATCAATAACAAATACTGAAAAAGAGCTTCTTCACGTGGGCTGCCGTCATGAGCAAGTGCATTTCTGTGGGACTTGGGAGATCCTGAGAAACTGCATGTCTGGGAAAAAGCTCTTCAGCAGCAACTCAGAGTTGTTTTCACCTTACCATAGTTTAAAAGTCAGGTAAGTCCAGGTAGATATTTATTCTACCAAATATCTGTTTTTCAACATTTCTCTCTTGGCATACAATTCAAATTTCTTAATGCTAATTGGTTAGAATTCCTTGATAATTAACATACAGTCACACTAACAACAGCTGATCTTTTTTTCGGTAGAGGTTCCACAGACCCTAAGTCATGGTATTTTTACCCCATAACATGTGCCTAACAGGCCAGGCCACCTCTCACCTAGGTTATCCTGTCACTTACCGCTGCTTTAGTGTAGTTCCCGGTGGCCAAGGAGCCAGCGGAGCTCATTTCTGCAATGAGTAGGCACCCCCGGTGCAGAGGCAGCCCTACTTCTCTCAGGCCTTCCACCACTCCTGAGCCTGGCACCGCATGAGCATTTACTAGATCCGCCCAGGAAGCTATTTTAAAGACACCACCTAAGAAGAAGGGGGGGAAAAGATACTTGTAAATTTTCAAATGAAAACCTTTAACTTTTGGCCCAACCAACTCACTACAATATGAAACAATCTCCTAGAATATGTTAACACAAAAGTGAAACACTTCAAGTATTTTAGTGCTTATCAGTGGAGCTAAGGTTCCATCTGTGAAAAATGTTATCTGTTCACCCGGTAGCTAGCAGAGAGATCACAGTGAGACAAGTCTTGCAAATTCTGCTTTGTCAGCAACACTGACAAGACATTTTTCCTTGCAGGCTGAGGTTTGTGACCACCAATAAAACTCATACAATTTAGAAACAGAACCCAGCTGAGGGTGGGTGTTCACCAAGGTCAAAGATGCCAACATTTGAAACTCCTCTGAGGATGACAAATTTTCATTCTGCAAGGATTTCTCACCATCTCTCAAATCTTTTACTCATCTCTTAAGTATCTTTAGTTCTTCAAATTTCACTAGGCAACTGTATTTCTTTTAAAAAGCTGTCAGCAAGAACACTAATTGACTTTTGAAAAAGTTATGCAAACCTGTAGCAAGTTTGTGTAACTACATCAGTCAATAAACTAAACAATGTGATGATGGCAGCACAGGAAGAGTCATTTACAGACACATCTTATCCTGAAGAGACAGCTTAAGAATATGCATGCATTTAAGAAAAATTAACTTCAAAAGATGTTTTTAGTAAGTGTTAAATAACATAAAATATGTTTTAAGGGTAAGTCAGAAAAAGCATTAGATATGTCTTATGACAGAAATTTTCACAGAATAGGTAGAAAATGAAGCAATTTTTTCACCAACATATACTACTTTGAGTTCCTATTTAAAAAAAGAATGGACCCACAGACCAGTGGAACACAACAGAGTCCAGATATTAACCCAAACATATATGGTCAATTAATATATGACAAAGGAGCCATGGACATACAATGGGGAAATGACAGCCTCTTCAACAGTTGGTGTTGGCAAAACTGGACAGCTACGTGTAAGAGAATTAAACTGGACCATTGTCTAACCCCGTACACAAAGGTAAATTCGAAATGGATCAAAGACCTGAATGTAAGTCATGAAACCATGAAACGCTTAGAAAAAAACATAGGCAAAAATCTCTTGGACATAAACATGAGCGACTTTTTCATGAACATATCTCCCCAAGCAAGGGAAACAAAAGCAAAAATGAACAAGTGGGACTACATCAAACTGAAAAGCTGCTGTACAGCGAAGGACACCACCAATAGAACAAAAAGGCATCCTACAGTATGGGAGAATATATTCATAAATGACAGATCTGATAAAGGGTTGACATCAAAAATATATAAAGAGCTCATGCACCTCAACAGACAAAAAGCAAATAATCCAATCAAAAAATGGTCAGAGGAGCTGAACAGACAGTTCTCCAAAGAAGAAATTCAGATGGCCAACAGACACATGAAAAGATGCTTCACATCACTAGTCATCAGAGAAATGCAAATTAAAACCACAATGAGATATCACCTCACACCAGTAAGGAT